ATAATTCAACCTTTCAGAGACACAGTGTGATTACTTCCTGGAAGGAGTAGCAGGTGGTTAGACACAGCCTCCTCAGGTGAACAGTTCTCTCTGTCTCTAAGGAAAGCCACTTAGGGAGCTACAACAACTTTAGGCTCTGCAACTGCGAGGTGCTGGATGAGTGAGTGTGCCCATCAAACAGCCAAATGAGGGTCTGGGGAATCTGAGAGACCATGTGTCATTTGTCTTATGTAACTGATCCTTCAGGGTAAGTTGAGAAGGAGATAAAATGAGTCTTCCAGGAGCTTCTGGCTGCCCCTTGTCTCTTTTCCTCCTTTTGTCAGTGCCTCTAGGTGTCTTCTGTTACTACTCAATTTCTTTATCTTAAAGATGTTTTTTACAATAGCATTCAATTTAAAAATGATATTCAAATGTGTTAAGCATCTCCACGTGCAAGGCTCTTAGCTAATCACTGGGATTCAGAGACCACAGTTTTACAAGGCAGACAGACATGTTACTAGGCATGGTATTAAGGAGGAAGATGCTTTGCTGTTTTGGAGCCAAGGTAGAGTCCAGAGAGTCCAGTTAGTTTAACACTTTCTGGGCAGAGAGACCGGCCTGCACAAAGCCTTGGAGGTCTAAACCCCATCTTGGGTTCAGGGCTGTCCGTGTAGTTGGATGTGCTGGAGAATGAGGTCAGAGTGTGTGGAGGGGAGGGGTGCAGCTAAAGAGCTTAGCAGACACCTTGTCATAAGAGGCCTTTAGAAGAACCTCTGTATGCAGGAGCAAAGGTCAGAAGATCCTTAACGTATGGCATTTGTTAATTGTAATAGCCGGGAGTGGCGATGACACAGGATTGAAGCCCCCTGACGGTTTCAGCAGTCAAGACGCTAGTGAGTGAGTTTTCTCTTGGGCAAGAAAGTTTTCCCAGCTCCCTTTATGTCACTCACACAGACAATTCTGCCTGTTGGTAGAGCTTTTATTTTTCCTGCCAGGTACAGCTGATAACACCTGAGCTCAAGCAGAGAGGAGACAGAGGGGATGACCAAAAGCCAAATCACTTGGGAAAGAGTGGCCCATTTTTTCCCTAGAACACTGAGCAGTGAGGCCTTCTGTTCATATTTGACTGACAGGACCTTCCAGAAGTTACAAAAATGTTAATCGAATTTGTGAAAAATTGATAGGTTGGTCATTAGCTACACAAATAACGTAGTCCTAAATGCTCATTACAGGTTAGGCTTGGCACATATGGTTTCTTCTGTCGCCTGGAAGCTTTTCTCGTTCTGCCTTTATTTTATTCCATTCTCAGGAGTTCTCATCTTTCCCCCTCCGTTCCCAGTCCCATTCCTGAGAATTAGGGAAGACTGTCCTATATCATTACACTGCTGGGATAGTTGTGGTAGTGGTGGCTATTGATGATATGATGATGTTGATGTGATGATTATGATGATTAGGAAGAAATTATAATCCTGCGGCAAAGTCAGTCATGGGGGATGCAGGTTGCAGCAATCACAACAAGCCTCTGGTATCTCGATTCCAGCCTGGCTCTGTGTTCACTGTGATTAGTAAATTACAGGGTCGGTGCGAAGGAGCTGGACCAAATTTCCACCAGCTTCATCCTCCATCTTGGAAATTTCTTATCTGAACAAATCTATGATGCTTTGTTTGTTTTTAGTGGGTGAAAAACATAGATGAAGAATAATTTTGTCATACCTATGCCTAGTACAGTCCCTGAGTCATGGCTGATATACAACATATATTTGTTCAATAATTAGAAGAAAGGCAGAATGAATCAAAATATTGGGTTCTGAGATCTTCCCTTGGGTTTAGATTCTAATCCTTGGGAGCTTTCTGTAACCTGAATCTCTTCAAGCTGCTTCTGAACTAGCTCTGAAATATACCAACTTGGATTAGTCACCATATAATTACTGAGCACTGACATGGTTTGGCTCTGTGTCCCCACCCAAATCTCACCTCAAATTGTAATCCCCATGTGTCAAAAATGGGACCAGGTGTAGGTAATTGGATCACGGGGGCGGTTTCCCCCATGCTGTTCTTGTAATGGTGAGTGAGTTCTCATAAGATCTGATGGGTTTATAAGCATCTGGCATTTCCTCAGCTTGCACTCACTCTGTCCTGCCAAGCATCTGCTATGTGCCCAGAACAATGGGACTGAGAAATACTGAAGTGCCTCATGCCATGGACTCTTGTAATTCCAGTGGGACAGAGCTTCTTTGTGTCTATTTATTGACAGAACTAACTCCCTTCTTCACTTGTTTTGGCACGAGCCTTGTTCATTCCTAAATCCCTAGTGCATCAAGAATCCTATGGCTCAATAAAAGTTTGATGACTGAATGACTGGTACTAACAAAATCATTTGTAAATACGGGTTGGGGAAAAGCCATTTGAGGGTCTAACACTAATGACTGTATCTGCCGGAATTTGGGGGTGTGAGAGTTGACTTAGGCTGAGCAAAACAGCTCTGATATTGCTTCTTCCCTGAATTGTTTTGAGACCTTAGACCATCTGTGGCTGGAATAAGCCTCCTTTCAGCATCTGTAAATGAGAGATTCGGATCATCACTTCCTTAATATCCTTTCCAGCTTAAATATACTAATATTTTAAGTCTATTAATAAGAATTTCTAGGACTCTGGGTTCAAAGATATAAAAAAAAATGTGAGCCCTCAGGGTTGTGGCAGGATGCAGAAGACCTGAGGAGAGTCCCGGGAGCTTAGAACTTCCTCCTGCCTTGCTTAGTGCTTATTTTTGTCCCTTGTAAAATAGACAGGAAAACCCACAGTCTACCCTGGGGTGCTATGGCAATTAATTAGTTAATGTCTGTAAGGTACAAAAGGAACAAAAAGTGCTGCGTGTAAAAAAGTCATAGAAATGCTAAGTGTTATTGTTTTTCATTTGAGTTTTCTCCCTTCTATCTCAGTTTCATATCAGAGTAGTCATAACTGCATCAGTTGGGGCTCCTCTGGCTAATTATGCCGCCAATAAAAGGGAAAAAAATTCACTTTTAAATTTCCGTTTTAATTTCTCTGTCTATGACTCCTCCTCCCTTTTCTCTAGTGTGTTGTTCATAGTTGCTAACTGCTCAGGGGTCAGTAAAAGTAAGTACTGCTGTTATTTCTCCACACTCATTACAGTCTGTGAGACACCAGCACTCTCCCCATGAGACGGCAGATGGCACTTCAGTGCCTGTTGGGCAAAAGCTATGGAGGATACACAAATAAATGCCCCTGGTGGGTCTCTACCCTCCGGGGGTTCTGTCTGTGGGAAAGTTAGAGGCCAGCCCCATCTCCTGCCACGGGGAGAATGTGACGAGCTTGGTAGGGGTGAGGCAGGGGGCTGTTGATGGGCCGCACAGTCAATCCTGGCGTAATTGATACCTACATCATAATGCCATGCAATAGAACAACCTCAAGCCCAGTGGCTTAAAACAGTACATGTTTATTTAGTCTAAGAGCCTGCAGGTTGGTGATTTAGACCCGGCTCAGCTGGGTGGCTTCCTTGTTCTCAGCTGGGTGTGCTCTCAAGTCTGGGGGTCAGCTGGCTATTGGCAGAGGTAGGCTGTCCGTGGAAGGGATGACTGGAGAGACTGAACGCTGCCCTACCACCCCATCGTCCAGTTGGCCAGTCTGGGTGTGTCCTTCCTAGGATATCGCAGAAGTGTGAGAACGAGAGGCACATCTGCAAGGTGTCCCGAGGCCTAGCTTCAAAAGTGGTACATCCTTACTTTCGCTTATTCAGATGGCCAAAGGAAGTCACAGGGGTAAGCCCACATTTGAGCAGAATGTAGATGGCAAAGGGCGGATACAGGAGGGGTGAGGAATTGAGGCTATTAATGCAATCAGCCTGCAACAACATGCCTTAGCGGCAGCCTATCTCAATCTCTGGGGTCGGGACATTTGCATTTTTGACCAGTTCTTTAGGTTATTCTGATGCTCAGTGAGCTTTCAAAACAACTGGCCATAAGCAAAGGGCAGGAGAAGCTTGGAGGAGGTGTGGGATTGCTGGCAGCCTTGCCCCAGTGCTCCTCACACTCAACCTTCCTCTAGCCTTGGTTGACAATTCAAGAGGACTTCACGACTTCTTTAGTTACTCTGCTAGGACAAAGCCCTCTGGTGTTAGTAATTCAATGTTCACTTCCTATGGAGGAGTCAAAACTTTGAACTGGGTTTAATGTGATATAGCCCCCATTTTGCATTTTCTGTTCTGCCAGCTGAGGGCAGAACACAGGAGAAGGAAGGAATGGAGGAGAAGGAAGGAAAAGGAATGTGGATGGTTTCTTCTTGTCCCCTGTGACTTCAGTGTCTATCCTTCCTACCCCCAACTTGTTAATCACAGTTTCTGTAGGTCTAGGGTTTAAAGAAGGGAGAAGAGGTGAGGAGCACAGAAGCATTTTTACTTGATGGGCGCTGGTGCGGACTGGCTGGCGTTCTTTCTGACTCTCTCTTGGGGCTCTGCAGACATCCTGTGTTAGGTTGGGTGCAAAGTGGTGGGGGAAATCTGGATGGGGAAGGAGAGGAAGCCAAGCAGGGATGTGGTTTCAGGCAAAATCCCATGGAGATTGAATGGATTACAAAGGGACACTCTGGAGTATAAATCACGCCCCAGAGTTTGTCCCGATTTAAGGCAAAGAAGCTGGGCTTTCACACGCCACCACCTATCCCATGAGGCACTGGCTAGGACTCATAATGGGAGTGGAATATGCAGGGACCTAAATTCCCAGAGGCTTTCAGCAATTTCCTCCTGCAGGGGAAGCAGCTTCAACTTGAGGGCACCCCTCCAAAGGGAGTTGCAGATGCAGCCTGTTAGAAGCAAAAGCACATAGAGGCTGGGAAATAAATGGACAAAAATGGTAAAGGGAATCCAAGGAAGATGGTGACGTGTGACAGCATCTCTCACACCCTCCCAACCTCTGCTCTGAGGCTCCCTCACTTGCGTTCCCATAATGCACATGACGGACCCTCGCGCAGCTCTGAGCCTTCTCCTTCCTGCAGCACCCAGCTTTTCTCTGCTGTGGTCTACTTATTCAAGTGTCTCTCCTAGATGTGATGAAACGACCTATGACGATTTTCTCTTTCTTGCAAAGAGTTCCCCAGGAGACGCCAATGACTTCCTTATTCTGGCATTTCTGGGAATGCAAGCCCTGCTACCCAGCTTCCTCTCCTCTGGCTTGGCTGTCAGCTGTGAGTCTTGGATTATTCACGGAGGAGTCGGAAATCCGCTGTGACCCCAAACAGTGGAGGACATACCTCAATAAGTCATGGCACAGCTCTCTCCAAAGGAATTCTCAAAAATTCCCTTCCAATTGTTCAACTACCAGCCTTTGTAAGTGGACTTGGCAGTCTTGCGATTTTTGGGGAGGAGCCATTTCCTTTTTAAATTACAGAAGTGTCTGCCACCTCCTTTGGAAGGTACCTGAGGGTAAACTTCTGTTTCTTATACCCTGTTACACTGATTTCGTGTGACCTTCTGTAGGAAGGATGGTTGGTTGAATCCACAAACACCCATGGAGGTTTGTGTTCTGGGCCCCAGGGAAGCTGGAAGTATCAGAGCTGGGACCTCCTCGGGAGTCCAGGAGCTCTTAGTCTAGTAGGGAAAGGGAGCTCTGGACACATTGCCTTCCTCTCAGTTAACCAGCTTAGACCCGCCAATCTGACAGGAAACGATTTGAACCCATGGCAGAGCCCAAGACCTTCACATTTCTTTCTTTTTTGAAGGGGGAAATTGAGCACACCTCAGAAATTTTCTCAATAACTGAATGAGAGAAGTAGGACCACCAGGTTTTGAAGTGATTTTTCTCTCTTGGAGGTCAAGAAATTAAAAGAAAGCCCCAGCATCTTTACAGAGCAAGCACAGAGGAGTCCAAAGGTTTCATCAGAAAGGAAATTGGAGGCTCTGTCAGCACACCCCCCTGCCAGACTCACGGGAGCTGAGGTCTGCAGAAGGAATAGGCAAGTTTCCTTCATCAGTGCCGGAGGTTAAAAGGGGGGTAGGTGGAGGCTTGCAGGAGTTTGACAGGCGCACGGTCTGTTCAGGAGAACCTGAGGGTTTGTATCCTCTACAGCATGGTGACCCTTAGCAGCCATCACTAGGCTGCTCCTGGTTCTCCGTTTCTGTGTGGAGCTGACTGAGCTTCTGCTTTAGGGTTTTGTGTTGCGCCTCAGAATTGCAGGGGGTAGGTGGTGTAGGTCACTTTGGTGCCTCAAAGTGCTGACTTCAGTTCAGCCTCTACCACTTTCAAGGTCTGTATTTCTGGATATGTCCTGTTAGCCTTTCAAAACCTCAGTTTCCTTGTCTGTAAAATGGGGGCAACTATGCCTACCTTTCAGGATTGTAGTGAAGATGAAATGAGCTATCATGTGGGTAAAGCCCCTGGGACATGGTAGAGGCTTGGTAATTGCCCTTTTTTACTCCCTTGCCTTGCTGCCGGAATATTGTGGGGTTTGGAAAGGTGAGAATGATTTTCTTCCCCTCTAGAGCAGCTACAGCCTGTGTTCTGGGGGCAGGGAGACTCAGCTATGAAAAAGCCAGCCTCATTTTGGTAGTGTGGAATGGTCCTAGGATGCCTGAATTCTATGGCAGGAGAGACCTGCAGTGCTCATGCTGCAGTGCCCCAGGTTGAGCAAGTTGGGTAAAGGAGACCAAGAAAGCTGAAATGACTTGCCCAGGACCACAAAGCCAGCGAGTGGCAGAGCTGGGGTCAACCCTTTGTTCTGTGTCCCTGCATTGACCCAGCTGCCCAGCTACCACGTTTTAGGATAACAGAGTATGTCCTTGTGAAGTAAGTCCTGGCTCCAGGGTGCACAGCTGGGACCTCACCCTTGACCCCATGATGTCTTCTGTTACATAGGGAGCGGTGGTCAATTTCCAAGCCAGGCAGATCAGCATGTTTCTCACTCCAGGAAGGTTTCCTGACCTCCTAATATCAAGGTAGGTGGCCCTGCTGGTCTCTTCTGGGATTCCTGCGCCCAATTTGTATGTTTATTTTTGCTCTCCCTGCCCTGGACTGTGAAGACGTGATCTAGCGTTTCTTCTTCCTCGTTGTGCGTCCAGGGCCTTCTGTATGCCCTAGCACTGAGTAGACCTCAGTAACTGTGTGTGTGGGTGAATGACTGGGCCAGTTGAATTCATTCTGCTGTTGCTTCCCCTCAGGTATTTTAGGCCCCAGTTTGAGTATGTGTCCATGGGGCACTGCCCTCCACCCAGGAATGACCTCCTAGCCTCCTGTGGAAGCAGCAGGGCACGGGGGACAGGACCCTAATGGCTTTTGGCCTAAGCTAGTAAAGACTCATGGCTTCTCTCAGCTGCTTTCTTTCTACCCTTGAAACTTGAAGAATAACTTGAGTAGATGTCAAATGTACTTACCAAGACAGACATTCAATATCTGGACTTGCAAGCCTACTGGAAGCTCGCCAAGTGGCCCCCATTGGGCTGCCTCACATAGACCATCCACCTGATCACTTAGCACGCTGGCAGTGAATGCCCACTGCGTGTTGGCCTGGTGGCTCTGCCTCTGTGTAGGAAGGGGGATGAGCCAGCTGCTCAGAGCTCAGTCAGCATCAGCTTTCTCAGACATGGGGGAGGGTCTCAGGGGAATGGTGACTCACTTAGAACAGGCTTCCTTGCACAGAATGCCCTGTCCCTGTGTTATACAGAGCAGGAAGCTTTAACTGGATCATTGCATCTTGCCCCAGGAGGCAGCTAGCGGAGGTGGGAGGTGAGTGACATGGACGGGCTGCAGCGATTCTACAGAAAATGGCAAAGAGAGACATCTCCGAGATGGATTATGAGGGCAAAAGTCTTCAGGGTTCACTGGACTTGTTGGGGGTTGGAATAAGCACTGGGGAGGGCAGAGGAGAGAGAGGAATACGATGCTCTGGGGAGGAGCAGAGAGGCAGAGACGTAGTGATTAAAGTCTAATTGTTTCATGGCTTTTTCTTAAAACCACATTTTATTTGAAACTCACAAACTTCTGCTTCTAATTGTTTCATTGGTTATATTTGTCCTTGCTGCAAAATTTTGCAAATGAGACTAAATTCTCTGTAATGATACTTCTTTGTTGTTGTGATCATGCATTTACTCAGTGTAACAAATAGGCAGCTTCTTCAGAGTGAGGGTGGCTGCTGGGCTTCTAAAAACCTGGGAAATTCAGGAAGGAGAGTACACGACTTCAGCAAAACCTTAGCACTGCACAGGTCAGGGCAGTGCTTGCCTCTTAGTCTAAGATCCTCCTTTCCCTCTCTCCTTCCTTCCTTCCTTCCTTCCTTCCTTCCTGCCTGCCTGCCTGCCTGCCTGCCTGCCTGCCTGCCTGCCTGCCTGCCTTTCTGCCTTCCTTCCTTGATTCCCTCCCATTCTCTTTTCCTTCCTCCTTTCTTTATTCATTCATCAAACATTTATTGAGCGTCTACTATGCATCAGCTGGGCTATGGTGATAAGATTAGTTCCTGTCTATCTAGCATAGATATGGTAGAAGCTGAATCATTGCATTCATTTATTTGTTCAATAAACATTCATAGAGTACCTAATATTTGATTATCTCTATGCTAGGTATCAGGAATGCATGAATGAACAAGAGGGAACCACACATTCCCTTTGCCTTTGTGCAGGTTATAATCTGCGTGTGATGAGATGTTAGGCAAGGAGGTTCATAAAATAAAAATATAATGACATAGTTTGAAGTTTGCATAGCAGTCCATCCACATGGTTGTCTTTCCTTCATTGGCTCAAGTTTCATAAAATGTGTTCAACCTGGAGCTATGGTGGATATGTGCTTGTAACAGGGGGAATGTGTGTTTTCTTCCTCATTTATTCTCAAGAGGGTGTGGCTTCCTGGGAGGGAGCATAAGATCTCAAGTTAATGTCTTACTCCCTTTATGGTCATTCTTCCTTATCACAAAGAAGACCCAAGGGGTTACTGAGGCCCTTCAATACTGTGTTGTTGGAAAACCAAAACCAGCTGCGGAAATAGTGAATTGCAGCCTCAGCTGGGACTCTTATTCTGATTGATTCCAGTGGTTTTATTATATTCCCAGTGGCTCCAGTTGTAACTAGAAACCTAAGCCCTACACCTGCTGGGACAGGGTTCTGACATTTTATGTCAGAGGTAAGGTAGAAAGAGCCACATACATGATTGGTTTTTATAATAATGTGTCTGTAGCACAATGATTTAAACACAAGAGGCAAACACCAAACACTCTTCCCAAACACCCTGTAGTAAGAAATAGAATTCCCCTGAGCCCTCCTTCTCATATCTACCCATCACAATCCTATCACACCAGAAGAGCAAACATAGAAGTCCCAAACACACTGACTACTTTCTGTCTACAGGTCTTTAGACAAACCCCTTCTCCTCTCTTCCTCTGTAAATAATGCTGATCTCACAGGGTTTTATGAGCATTTGATGATACATGCCTCATAAAAAGTATTTTAGAATCAGTAAAGCACCGCATTTATTACTGTTATTGGGTTATAGGAGTAATGTGGTCCTTGGTTCTCACATTTGCAAATATAGAACCCGTAGGGGATTTGTGGCAGATGAACTTTTCCAAAATTGGCCACAGTAGCATCCCCCCATCTCACATCTTCAATGTGCCCTGGCCATGCCTTTCTCAAGAGAGAATTTTCTTCATCTCCTTGACTCTGAGTTGACCGCAGACTGCTTTGACCGACAGCACAGTGACCTTGTGGATCTGGGGTGGAGCCCTTAGCCAGCCTAATAATTTCTGCTTCCTGCCTCTTGGAGCCAGCGGCCATATAAGAAGTATGACTCTCCTGAGACCACCGGATGATATGCCATGTGGAGAGGAAGAAAGGCCAAGGAGCAAAAGGTGTACCAGACATGGGTGAAGAAGCCCTCTTGGAAGTGGATTTTCTAGCCCTAGATTCCCAAATTCCCAGCTGAAATCCAGAAATCCCAACCCACTGAATTGTGGAAAAATAAAATAAATGTATGAACACACTAAGTTTTGAGGGTACTTGGTTACCCAGCAATAGAAAACTAAATAGTCGCGTTTTTTCCTCTTCTGGGTTCGTGTATCTTTCACCCAAGGACTTGCTAATTGTGTTGAATTGAGAAAAGCCACAGACTTTCCCAGCCCAGGTGGTCTGGTGTTCAAACCTTGACTCCGTCATCTTTTAGCTGTGTGTTCACATAATGCTTTGAACTTCATTCAGCTTTTCAATCTATGATAGGGCCTTATAAGGGCTCCTAAAGACGCGGGGAGGCCACAGTGAGCCGGTCCACTGAAAGTACTTTGTAGCATTGTTTGGTCCTAAGTATGCTGTCAGGCGTACGTTGTGAATAAAAGAACCCACTGAGGCTCTGTGGGACACCTGCCGGTCAGTTCCACATCCCTGGTGAGGCTGGTTCCCCTTGGCACTTGTTTGATACATTCTGGGCCTACTTTTGAGATGGGAAGGGGCAAAGCCTGCATGGGACTTCTCAGTGTGGAGGCTTCAGAGGCAGCTCATGAGTGCTGAGTACTTAGTGCATGCGCCAGGCCTGTCTGTAATTTCTGTACTACTTCTTAATAGCAAACTCTTAATGTTTATTTCTGTTTCACAGATGAAAAAACTGAGACTCAGAGAAGCTGATGTGGCTTGCATAAAAATCTACACTAGTAACGACAGAAGTAGGACAAGAAGGCAGATTCCTAGTCACCAAGTCCAGTAAGATTTGGGGCAATCACTGAGAATTTTTGACTTCAGCATAAAGTAAAGAAGATAAGAAAGTATCCAAGAGGCATAAAATTTTAATCTGAAAGCATTGCAATATGATGACTCCTTGAGCAACATAAGAAATTTGGAGTTCCTTTAAAGCTGCAAACACGAGAAGTTTACTCCTTCCAACTTGTCGTTCTTGGCAAAGTAGGCATAAATGGCACCTCATTCCTTCCGTTTCCAGTCGGAGGTGCTTCTGTTTTGAGCGTGTGTGTTCCTCTTTTCTGGAAGTTTTTCTTGACAGAAGCAGAGAGGTTTTTGACAAACAACTTTAATATTCTTTGTGTCTGTGTGGCTGGCTCTAATAATCCTGCAAGCTTACAAGGTCACTGTTAAGATTAAATCTGAGTCATCGGAGGCAGATGTTGACACATCATTATTTAAATCCTGAGCTGCTGAAGGACTCTCATCCTCATGAGCTGTGATTCACTGTCCAAACGAACACCCCAAATTCCACATAGGTTGCTGAGCAGAGACTCTGGACTCCATTAGGGAAAAAAGTTTGCCTTTGTGTGTGAGAAAGCCGTACTTTCTGTTGCAGAAGCATGGTCTACAGGGAGAGTGAATGTTTCAGCAGACCTGGGCTCCTGTCTCATCTCTTGCTCTGGGCTTTATTACCTGCTCTTCATAAACTTTCCCATAATTTACACTTGCACGTTTATTTATATGTTATTGCTTTTTTAGTGAAGTATACTTTTTAAAGTAAAATGTGTTATGTGTCCAGCTTGATGAAATTTTGCAAGCGTGTACTCTAAGTCAGCACCATGCATATGACAACATGGAACATTTTCACCACCCCAGAAGGTTCCCTGTGCCCCTTCCCAATCAGTAACCCTTCAAGGTAACTGCTGTTCTGACTTTTGATGCCATGGATCAATTTCCTCAGTTCTAGGATTTCACGTAGAAGTCAAATGGCACATGCTATTTTGTATTTGGCTCTTTTGCTCAGAAAAATACCTGTGAGATTTATCTGTGGTGTTGTGGGTATCAGTGATTTGTTACTTTTTATTGCTGAATACTATCCCATTGTATGACTATACTAAAATTTGTTTATTCATTCTTTTGTCCATGGATACCTGGTTTGTTTTCAAACTTTGGCTATTATGAATAAAGCTGCTATACCTATTCTTGTATACATCTTTATGTAGACATATGTTTTCATTTCTTTTGAGTAAATACCTAGAAATGGGATTGCTGAGTCATAGAAAAGGCTGATGTATGTTCGACTTTATCAGAAACCATCAAATAGTTCTTTCCAACACTTAATGTTTTCAGACTTCTTTTTTTTTTTTTCTTTTCTTTTTTTTTCTTCAGAGCCTTTCTGGCAGGAATGTTTTCAGACTTTTAAAATCTTGGCCCTTCTGGAGGGTGTCTACTGGTATCTCAATTTAATTTTCATTTTTCTGATGAATATTGATGCTGAGCACTTGTACTTATGCTTATTGACCATTTATATATCTTTTATTTTTGTGAAGTGTCAGTGTAAATATTTTGCCCATTAAAAATGGATTTTAATGGTAGAATGCATGAATAAAAGTATTAGGGAATAGACTGCAGAATGAAGACAGAAAACCCGCAAGAGAGAGTCCTCAAGGGCAGCAGTAAAAACAATGAACACAGTTGTCACCTTCTACCCTGTTTCCAACCCGTGATTGAGTGGAAGCCTTGAAGGATGCAATCACTTGGCTTATTTAGAACAAAGAGATGCACACACACACAGAGAGAGAGAGAGAGAGAGAGAGGGAAAAAGAGAGAGAGAGGGAGAGAGAGAGAGAGTGCTCAGGAAATATTATGAAAAGGTATAATTGTCACACACTACTGGCACTACTGGTGCAGAAATAAAATAGAGTTTATTGGGGGGAAATTCTTAAGTAGCAGAGTACAAGCTTGAAGAAGCTCTGAACTTTCATATTCCTATAGCTTGGCCAGGTTTAGGGGTGTGAAGCTTTGTGACCAAATTTCCAGAAAAGAGGAGCTCCACCTCCATCAGGCTCCTTGTATTTATAGGTTCGGGGCAGGAAGAATATCTGTGCAGCTGCATAGCGATGGGAGCTTCTTGGTATCCTTAGGAAGAAGGAGCCTTGGATCCCAGCAATTGGGGTGGTTTTCACCTATGCTTCTGATGAGATAACTCAGACCTGGTGACCTTGCTCTTTGCTAAGTCACTGAAAATGGGGGAGAAAACAAACCTTCAGAATTGTCTGGATTTGTCATTCAACAGGACAGTTTTAATTAACGTAATCTCTCTGAGTCTCTGTTTTATCACCTGTAAGATGGGGGTAATACTATCTAGTATCTTGAAGAACTATTTGAAGTTCAGAAGTAATCATGTAAAATACCAAGCACATTGACTAGGATCAAGTAAGAACCCAACAAATATCAGTTTTCTTTATTTCAAGGAGAGAAAATTAAAATACTTGTTATCAATGTGAAACTTTTATACATATGGGAAATTTGGCTGGTTAGCTGATACCAGCTCTATGCGTGGCAGAGGCATTTGCTCTCACTTGACATCACACTTTCCTATGTAAAGCCTGGAATGAGGCTCTTATGATAATGGCCTCTGGGGATTATAATTAGCATGTGACAAGGGCACATTTTCCTTATTTGCTGTGCAGGATTCATGTATCTGAGACTTTAGAGGTACAGCTGCTGGATGGTGGGGGAAGTAGCAATTGGATTGAAGCTGTATATTCCAGCACCAAAGCAGTGGACTTTTGGATGCATTTAGACCTCATGTGGCCTAATTTATGGAGGTGTATCATGAAATGCCATATTTTCATAATGGAAGCATAAGGGTATTAGAAAAAAAATCAAAAGCTTTCCATGTAGAATTCTCTTAATAAAATCTCTGATTGTTTATTAAGGGATGTGGGTTGCTATGGTGACATCAGCAGAATTTGAAGAGGATTGGAATAGACATTCTAATAGGGCCAGGCATAGCTTATATACACTTAGAGAAAACATTGCTTTTTAGAAACAGGCTTGAGATATTGTGTAGAGTGTTCTATGTATCAACAAAACTTCCTGAGTTTGTGTCAGACCATCCTATTTTTTATAGATTACCCATTTAATCCCTCATTGCATTTTATTTCTCAGTTATAGTTGAGCTTGTTTATGTCTTCATTCATTCGTTCATTCATTCATTCATCAACAAATAGATTTTGATAGCATATATCTGCCCATTCTGAGGGATATTCAAATAAGTAATCATTTGGTCTCTTACAGTGATTTTGGGAGGGCAGCAGCATATTTCTGTCACTGGCTGACTTTCCTCATTGAATTAGTCTGCATTTAATCACTGTATTCAGTGACTTCAATACTGGGGAAATTTAATATAAAGAATTATTGTGCTATGATAGGATAGTGTATGTAAAGATGGAAAAAGAACACCAAAAGGTACCCAGAGAAGGACAAGTGTGAAGGGGAGAATTCAGACCTCATTGAAGAAGATCTTCAATTACAGAGTCCTGGATAATGAGGTTTGCTGGGTTGCAGTGGCCAGAGCCAGTCTACATAGCTGGGCAAACAGCAACAACCTTATGGGGCACAGGTGAGCTGAGGCTGGGAGGTGCGCAGCGGGACTGAGTGGGGGTGCCACTATAGGAACAAGGCCCAGACTGTGCGGTGACTGACTGGAGGGCTGCAGCAAAGTGGTCACTGGGCCTGGGCCAAGGCTGCAAGATTTCTGGAGAAGCCTGCTTTGGGGGCACAGCTGGGGCAGAGCAGCCCTGGACCATGACCCCATTCACATGCTCTGCTGACAGAACAAGCAGCTGAAGCTAGACAAAGCAAAACTGCAAGTGGGATCCGAAAGAGAAGCCCCTTCCTTCTGCAATGTCCTGCCATTGTCCTCTACTGACAAACCTTAACATGTGCTTACCGTAAAGGAGAAATGCTGAGTCTAGTTCATTATTGCAGAGCCGGCATTGAAGGGTGAGTTTGGAGCTTCAAAGTGGCTGTCCTGGTTGTGGTTTATCTTGTGAAATTACTGTAACATATTTGACTTCCTCTCTCATTCCCAAAGAGGCTTCATTGGCTGTGAAGCTAGGAGGTGGTTCAAGGGGGTTCTAAGAGCAAACTCTTTAGAGAGAATGACACCCTGCAGGTCGTCCACCCAGAAGGAAGGCCTGGAATACAAGCCTAGGTTGGTAGCAGTCATTGGCTCTCAGTTTTTTTCCTGTTGAAAGGTAGTTTATATTCATTTGGTTTTATAGACTTGGAATCCCAAGGACATGGATTTGAGTCTCAGCTTGTGTACTCGCCAGCTGTGAGTTCAGATACCAGCGTATGCCTAAGGGTATTCAGGATTCAGCTCCAAAGTTACAGACTTCCTGGTCATATCATAGGTTTAGCCACCATTCCCTAAATCAGGAGTTAACACATTTTTTCCTGGAAAGGGCCAGATAGCAAATATTTTAGGCTTTGCGGTCCATATGGTCTCTGTTGTGACAACTCAACTCCCCTCTTTGTGGCACAAAGGCGTCCATTGACAATGAGCAAATGAATGAGTTTGACTCTGTGTGGGGAGGTCCAGTATTGGACCTAACTGCTGGGACCAGTGGGTACCTAGGGGCTCCCTGGGTCTTGAGCTAGACTGGCCTCTCCCTTTTCAGAGGAAATGTTCTCTCAGGTTTCATTGACCTGCCCTGTTGTGAGCCTTGGTTGGAGTCCCTGAAGACATCCTAATAAACTGCCTTATCTTTAAATCTGGAGGATCCAGGGTTGGGGATCTTGACTGCTTCCTCTCTAGAATGCTTCAGGCTTTTTATTAGGTTGGTGCAACAGTTATTGTGGTTTTGCCATTGAAAGTAATGGCAAACACCACAATTATCTGTGCACTAACCTAATATTTGAACTTGGTCTTTAGGGTCCACCTCTATAAACCCGGGAAAGTGGTAGCTTTTGCTAAGCTGCTGAAGAGTAAGGTGTTGTTAGCTCCTGCAAAGGGGTCTGTGGGACAAAGAAGATCTGCTTCCCTGTTTAAGCAGCAGCAGTGACAATAGAGTGTCAACCGTACCTGGCCTTATGGCTGCCATAGATGCTAAAGATAAAGCACTGTCACTATAGGCAAAGAGTCATCTGTCGTTGTCACCTGTGCATTTTCTTAGGCCAGAGAAGACAGCGAATTTGAACATTTTAAGGAATTTTAAATTTTAAGGGAAGGTAGGAGCCAATAAAGTGAAACATTAAACGAATCATCTAGTGGGAGGTGACGCTTCCCAGGCAGCATGTGCCAACATGCCTCATTTCTGGGGTGGTTTGTGAGCTTGGTGCTAGTCACCCACCCCACCAGCTCATATGACAAGGTAGCCAAAGCATCCTTGCCTCTTCCTGTGCCTTTTTTTTTTTTTGGTTCTGTTTAAATTCTAGGGCAGAAGGGTTGATGCCAAGATACTTATGCCCTTTTGCTAACTGCTGCTTAAGCGGCTTCTTGACAGACAAATTCTAATTAAACAAGTCTAATAAGTTGCAGAAACACAACGGCTCTCGGCGCTTTTCCTGTGGCATGTCACATCTGGAAAAGCCACATCCTGTAACTTGCAGATACATTTTTAGGAACTGCCTCTGTAAAGCTGCTTTGGCTGTTTCTCCAGAGATGTTGGTTAGGTTAACACCTCTTCCTTTTTTTTTTTTTCTTTTCTGAAAAACTAATTTTAGGCAGCAAATTAATTGTAGGGACATTCAGGTCAAAGAGATTTGTATTTCTGTGTGGTAAATTCTGCCCTTGTCTTAGGAATGTTACAACAGCCAATTAAGTGGCTGAGTTGGGATTTGAACTCTGATCTTTCTGTCACCACACACTCCAGGAAATAAAATGAAAATGAAAAGCAACAAAAACAACAACAAAAATCAGCCAAGTAGTCTGCTGCTCCATTTTGGATATAAGATCTAACTTGGATTTGAGGAATGGAGGGTCCTTACAGTGGTGATATTCAGTAAACCATTGGAAAGGTGGGCCTGGAACTTGGTGACAAGTGCAGAGCAGAGATTTCATTGTGAACGTCTCCTTTTTAGGGCTTGATTCATTCGCCCAATACCCTTTGTTTAACCTCATTAAATGACATTTTTATAGGTTGTAGTGGAAGAAGCACTAAGGTGGAATCTCTCCCTCCCTCCCTTCCCTTTCTTCCCTC